CAGCCCCCTCCCCTTTCCCCTCCACCTCTTCTTCCCGTCTTTAACTCTATCCAGCTTTTCTCTATCTCTAACTTTTTTTTTTTTACAAGAACTCGAAGACTGACACGTCTGCTTTTCAAAGAGTCTGCATATTTCCCTAACACAAACAACACGGGCCACACTGCCACTGCACCCCCCACCCAAAAATGGCTTCAGCAAAATAAGACAAATCTCCAGTTATAGTAGTGAGTAGTGAAGGAAAGGAAAGTGCAGTACTGCCTTATACGATGTGTGTGTATGTGTGTGTGACAGAGAGAGAGAGCAGGCTTTCAACTATTGGTGCTAGTCTGCAGGTCGCCTCTGGCTCATTAACGCTCTCATGTCTCGGTGTTCTCTAGACCCAAATTCCATAAGCAGGCTGAGAGCTGTGAGGGAAGGTAAGGTGGAAAATGTCCACGGCGGGAGACTAGTGAGAGACGTGCGTGGCACAGCATAACCTGAGAGGAAGCTAGAGAAACTTTTAATGTCAGCTCGCAGCCTTTGAACTGGCGCCGATGAGACACAAGTGACCCAAAGCAAAAGGTTCCAAAGGACTGAGTGAAGATTATTCAGAATACTGATGCGGTGTGGAATCCAATTCCTTTGGGAGACCAGGGACTTTCCGAGCAGGAATACCGTCAGCCGCTGTGTTTGTTGGACGTAGGGACGTAGGTCATTTACAAATGAACATGTAAGTCTGATTGACAGACAACTACCCCCCCCCCACATGTACCCAAGATGAAAACATCCAGGTGATGCTGCTGTGTTTGAATATGGAGTCCTTCATGAACCAACGTTCTCTCGCTCCAAAATTCCCTTCAGGGAGGTTTGAGACACAAGAAATGAAAGAAGCCAGGACAAAAAAAAAAGGAAATCTAAGACGGTAATATGGCAAAAGTGAAACCAAGACCACTTTTGTCCATCTCACTTGAAAAAAAATAAACAGGAAACAAAGCCGTGACACAGTCGGACAACGTCACTCCCCTCCCTCACTTGTTTTTGGGAGTTTTCAGAAATGAGTTACAAAAACAAAAATGTCAAATATTAACTATGTGCTAGATGTAAAAAAAAAAAAAAAAAAGACAGTGTAGCATGTGTTGTGGACAAATTTTGATCCAGCAAATGCCTTTATGAGTGCAACCAATTTTCAGCATTAGTGGCTCAGAAACACTGGCACATAAAATGAGGTCTAGGGTCTCTTAGGTTCTAATTAGGGCAGCTGTTACCATTTTCATTATTTGTGTGCTAGTGTGTGTGTGTGTGTGTGTGTTAAAGGAGAAAATATGCCAGTGGCTGGCTACCGCCACTTCTCTTCCAGCTGTTGTTAGTCTGTCAGGGAGCAGAGGTCTGCTGGTGTCACGTCCCTCCCCCTCAACTTTGAATAATGACAAAACCATGCGGAACCGAGCCTGAAGGTGAAGACGTTCTCACAACAAATGGCTTCACGTCTCCATTTATGATCTGGAGAGCAACGTGAAACGGCATGTGATTCAGCCTGGAATCCACACGCACTGTGATTCCGTAGTCAACGTCGAAGCAGAGAGATAAAAAAAAATGCCAGGAAAGGATTGAAGTTTTCCATTAATTCCTTATGTGCCACGCAGCCTGAGAAGATCTGTGTCAGCTTAGAGCAGACAAAAGACGGCGTGGAAAGTTTTTTTCTTTCTTTCTTGATGCAACAGTTTAAATCTATGTGTTATTTATTTAGGGGGTTTTAATGCTGTGACATCTGCAGTAAAGCATGAATAGGAAAAACGATGCTCCATCTGCTCACAACGTGTGAGAAAACAATCAGAGATGAATCTGTGGCTTATTGTTTTCTACTGAAGTGGGAGAAAAAAAAACAGAACGGAAACAAAAAAAGTCACATTCACGGCCCGTGTTCATTTACAACACTGAGCACAAGTTGTGTGTTTGTGTTTCCTAACTGCCATAAACATCCTCCATCTACAGACAGGAG